GATCAGCTCAGTGCCTCTATCGCAGGCCTTGAAAGAAGCAAAATACAATGGAAAATGACAGCAAAGCGCTCGGTGGAGCTCTGGCCCCAGAAGAAAAGCCACCAACAATTGTGACGCCAAGTGTGCAGGGTTGTTTCCCACACCGGCCAATTCTCTGATCCCCGCTGGGTGTCCTTCAGTTCACTGGCACTGTCTACCTAGAGTAGGGGTCATGTCCCACGGGGAAGGGCTCAGTCCCACTAGAGCATCCTCACTTCAGAGGCTAATCCTGAGTCCTTAGTGACCTGTACATCAGGGGTTCCCACGCCCCCTTCCCAGGCTCCACGATTTGCTAGAACGGGTCACAGAACTTAGGCAAGTGCTTCCCTTACTAGTACCTGTTTATTTTAAAAGGATTTGGCTCAGGAACAGCCGGATGGAAGAAATGCATCAGGCAAGGTCTGCAGAGGGGATGCGGAGCTTCTCTGCTGTCTCTGGGTGCACTACCCTCCCGGCACCTCGATGTGTTCACCCTGGCAGCTCTATGAGCCCCTGTGGTTAGGATTGTATAAAGGCTTCATTACGCAGGCATCACTGATTGAACCGTTGTCCGTTGGTGCTTGAACTCAATCGTCAGTTCCTCCCTCCTCTCCAGAGGCCAGGGCGGGGGTGGGGGGCACAGGGGCTGAAGTTCAGACTCTCAAATCACAAGGCTGGTTGTCCCAGCCACCACCCCTCCTCCCTCCCATTTTTAGGGGCTCTCCAAAAGCACCTCATGAAAATGCACCCAGGTGTAGTTGAAAGGGCCTGGTTCCAAACGACGGAAGGTGCTCCTCTTAACCCCCAGCATGCAGGCATTTCAAAGATTTTAAGAGTTCTGTGCCAGGAACTGGGACAGGATGAAGACCAAATGTGTATTTCTTATTATAGCACAATGTTATAAGCCCACAACCAAGCGTACTTGTCTAATTGACAAAGACACTAAAAGCAGAAGAAAAGAAAGCCTCACAATAGGATAAAGGGAAGTGGAGAGGGGACTGGAATCAGTGGTGTTCTGGGCCAGGCTGGACTCAGGGGTGTGTGACCCGTGAGGCCACACAGGGCGCTGCTCTCGGAATAGACTCCGCTCAGGGTCTAAATCTCTCTACCTTTGCCATCTTGAAATTCTTAATATTTTGTCTTCGAACTTGTATTTTGTAAGAGAAGTCCAATTCAGCAATGAAGCATGTGTGTCAGCAGAGAAGATACACCAGGTGGCAGCAAGCAGGCCCCTGCCAGTAAGCACGGCGGAGCAGTGGGTTCCACGGGTGCTGAGCAGTTGGCCTGGCCACCTGGCGTGCACCCACATGGCCGGGCAGTCTGGGACACCGTGGGGCTGCCAGGGGGCAGCCGGGCCGGGATCTGTGCCCAGACTGGCAGGAGCAGAAGATGGGCTGTGGTCCACCAAGGCCGAGGTGAGAGAAGGGACCCCACAAGGCAGAGCCGGTGGTGTGGCAGCTACACAAATGTAAGTGCTGCAGCCCAGGTCTGGGGTGGGGACTGCCAGCATTCATGCAGCCACCCATGAGCACATTATTTACGAACCAGGGCATCCGTGTGGACGTTGCAAAAAAGCATCTGAGAGTTAAAATTCTTCAGCGTTTAGCATCTCTGATTTTGAAAATTGCTGCAACACTGCCAAGCAAATAGTCCCAGGCTTTGAAATAAAAATTAAGTTTAAAGATCACATTCTCTAGAATAATAATACTATAAAAATAATTCTATTTTGTGTGAAGTTTCATTATTAATGAGAAAGGCAATTTTAAAATCAAGTTTTCCTTGTAATCAAAGATACAGCAATCAAATGCCTAAAGAGGTTATTAAAATTATATATAAATCATGAATTCGCTGTCCATTTCTTGTGCCACCAGTTACAGAAAGCATTAGAGGAAACATTAAAGTCTCACCGTGTACTTTTACATATACAATTAAATTCAGACTTATATGGAATTGATCTGCACAGAGAGTTAAATTTTTTTAGAGAAGCCCTGGTTGGCATGGTTCATTTGCAGTTGTACCGCAAAGCGAAAGGCCGCAGGTTTGATTCCCGGCAGGACACACGCCTGGGTTTCAGGTTTGGTCCCTGGTCAGGGCGCCTGCGAAAAGCAACTGATTGATGTTTCTCTCCCTCTTTTTCTCCCTCCTTTCCCCTCTCTCTAAAAATAAATAAAATTAACTTTTAAAAAATTTAAAGTTTTTTAAAGAAAAATGTTCCACAAGAATCATCAGCTTTTGATGTACTAAAATTTATATTTTGAAATAATTGATCAGAAGTGTCTCCTAATGTGACAGCCCATGAAATGTTCTTCACAACTCCAGTGATGGTTGCATTCACCGAATTATTAAAACTCTCCAAGTTAAAAATTATAAACACTTATTTGTGATCTTGCAGTTGCCAGGAACACCAGTCATACTTGACTAACGGGCGAGCTTTGGAGTGGCTTCGGGTCCAGAGCGCTGTAATAAAGTGACCACCGCAACAAGGCAGGTCGACATCTTCTCACCCGGGGGGAGGGCCTTGCCTCCAGTCTGTCAAAAATCACGTCTGGGAAGCTCACTAAAGCAAAGTAAGGTGTGCTTATATGTCAGCTGAAACGAAGTTGGCAAAAGTACACATTTGGATGACCAAATAAATGAATTTGCAGGAAAATCTAATGATCAATTAGGTATCATAGTAATAGCCCTGACCCGTGTGGCTCAGTGGGTTGGGTGTCATCCTGCAAACCAAAAGGTCGCTGGTTTGATTCCCAGTCAGGGTTGCAGGCCAGGTCCCCAGTGGGGGGCATGGAAGAGCCAACCAATCCATGTTTCTCTTGCACATCGATGCTTTTCTCCCTTCCTCCCTCCCTTCTGCTCCCTCTAAAAATGGATCAATAAAATCTTTAAAATAAGGTAGTATATTAATTAATTATATTATACAAAATTATGACAAAATATATTGTTGCCATTTTAGATTTATATATTACTCATGTGCCACTATTAACCTCATCACATTTTATAATAAAATATTTTGAAGGAAAACCTTTACGTTTTAGCGCCTGTAACTGCGCTATTTGTCGCCACTTTCTGAACGAAAGGCCACGCCTTTCCCTTCCGAGCCAGGCCTGCAAATTATGTAGGGTCTCCGATTCTGAGAACCAGTACTTCTTTGAAAGGATTTTTGTATTTTCCCCAATTTTCCTGATTCTGTTAAAGGCCTTTCCAGTTTTCACTGACTTCCCTCCGGCCCAGTGAATGATAGATAACTTTTTAAAACCCGCATCCGTGTGCGGGTGGCTGATCTGCCCAGAAGGCCGCCACTCTCTGCTGGGATGCCCTCGTCCTTTTCGGAGACTCTGGCCTGTTGCCCCACCCATCCCACTCCCACTGGTGGCGCATCCCAGTCCTTCAGATGTTGACGTCCAGTTGTGAAGTCCTTTTGGAGGTAAAGAGTGGAGGAAATAAATGATGAGGAAGACAGAAAGTGCAAATGGAGAACCGGTGTGCTAGTGGTCACTGGTGAGTGTTACGATGAACTCCATTAATCTTGAAGACTGGGGGGAAGGGCTGTTACAGGTGAGGCCGAGGCCCAGCAGGGTGGGAGGCCTGACCGGGTGTTGGATCCCAGCCCTGCTGTGTCCCAGGGGTCTACATCCTCAGGTGGGCAGCAGACTGGGGTCGGGCCTTCCAAGGGTAGCAGGACTCCTGATCATCAGCAGTGAGGCTGGAACCTGCCACTCACCCCTTTCCCTCCGAACCCTCGCCTCTTCTGGAATCTCTTCCCAGCTCCCCAATTGACCAATCCTTGCGCCCCATTGTGGAGGAGCGCAATCTGACTGGCTTAATTACCAAGACATTAAGATCTATCGGCCTATGAAGAGGCGGCCTGTGGCTCTGGTGTTCACCTCTGTCCAATCAGAGGCCTGGGGGCCCTTCCCTTACAGGGTTGAAGGTGGGACTTGACAGATGAACTGGCACATGGACACGCCCAGGACCATGACTGACAGGCCCGCAGAGAGGCCAGAGCTCACTTGCTTCCCCCACACCTGCCAACCTGCCACGTGGGAGTTCTCACATTTACCTCACCCCCCTTTACTCAGCCCATCACTTACTGAAGGGCATTTCAACTGTATCTTGGCTTCCACTCTTCCCATCTCCATGGTGAGCTTTGTAACCATCTTGAACGCCATCTGACCACTGGTGTGGTCTTTCAAAAGCTCATGCCCAGATGGTCGTTCACCCTTCTGTGGGTGCCACATCACCGAGTATGCCCAAACCTCCTTCGGAGGCCTCAAGGCCCTGGCGGTGGGACCTGAATGCCCTCTGGCCTATCCCTCATCTCCTTCCACCGAGCCTTCCCTGAGCCAGGGACGTCGTGTTTGCATCTGTCTCTGGTACTCTCACCTGCTTGCCAGTGAAGCTCTGCTCGTCCTGGAGAGCTCAGGTGCCGGGCCACCTGCCCAGAGGGGCTGCATCCATGCCCAGGTATGCTCCGCATCTACTGGCACTCTCTCCGCACTTAGCACGATTTACGTTTCGGCTTGCACGTGGGCTCGCCTCCATCTTCCCTGCTAGAAATGTCCCTGCAAGGGCAGGGCTGTCTGCCTTGCTCAGTGTTGAACTCCTGGGGCCCAGCACAGTGACTGGCACTTTTTAGGGTCTGGATAAATATCGTGCCCACTGGGGACCACTAACTTTAAAAAGTGCCCTGCAAACATGCACACGCAGAAGCACAGGAATGGTCTGGAAGGAATGAGGTGAGGCTCCTAATCTCGGTGGCTCCAGAGGTTGGGGAAGGGACCAGAATAGGGAATGGTGATGTGTGTGTATGCATGGTGTATGCCTGTCTGTGCACACACGTACAGTTGGGGTCGTGGCCACTGGCTTTAATGGAAACGATTTTACATTTTACTAAACAAAGCACCTCCCAGGTCGGTGGAGATGGGGGATCAGTGATCCCAAGCCACACTCTCAAAGAACAAAAACACCATCACGCGCTGCAATCTGCTGGTGGGTTTGGAGTCTTCACTTTATTACTGTCACCAGAAGTCACCACCTTCACTTGGTTTACCACAAAAGGACGATGTCATAAAGGGGGTTGCCACAGGCAATTGGATTCACTCTTGAGATACTTAACCAGGTGGTGGGGGGAGTCCAGAGTAGGGGCCCAGGATGGGGACCACCATTCACCACACACACGCACACAGAGATATATTTGAGGAGCCTTATATTATACATCTTATATATAGAAAATATATATATTTATACTATACACAGGCAGTAACGCTGCGGGAGGGGCCGGGGCACCCAGACGAGGGCTGTGGGCACCCGAGGACGGGGAGTGTCACATCAAGGGCAGCACTGGGAGGCAGCTGGACCAGCCCATCCTCCCACAAACTCTTGGGAGGGATGCTCCCCCTTCGTGCTCCTTAGAGAATCAGAAGGGATCTTGGGCCAAGGTTGGGGGGCCCCATGGGTAACAACTGGGGGCTCTTGGTTACATGGGGGAAGCCTGGGACCCCAAAAGAGTCTTTGAAGATCAAGAATGACCAGGGAAGATTGGAGGGGGAGCAAATGCCAATTTCTCAGGAATTAGTCCCTCAACTGCTACACCCAGGGCAGACCTAGTGCCACCCCCAGGCAGGAGGCCTGTGACTACGGAGGATGATTCAACTCAGGGACAGGAGACCTGGATCCTGAACCTCTGTCTGCTTGACTTTGGACGAGTCACTGTCTCCCTGGCCCAGACTCTTCCGTCTCTAAGGGTTCCTGCAGCTCAAAACTTACGTGAAACTCAGTTTTCCTGAGTTGTCTCTTGTGCTTGATGGGAGAAGACCCAGACTCTGACAAGGTCAGGATGCTGGGGGGCCCTTCTCCAAGGAAAGGCTCACAAGCAAGAGAGAGGCGGCAGGGTGGACAGCAGGGAGGGACAAGGGGATTCCGTTGGCCCAAGAGCACAGGTTTTCAGCTTGGGCCCTCTAGGGTGACCTCAGCCGACAGACACAGCAGGGCTTCCCACCAATTTCCCAGGAGGGCGTCAGGGGCCTTGGGTCTCGTCCCTGCCCTCCGACCTCACTTGCCCTGCTTCTCAGTCCCACCACGGGCCGGCCTCTGCCTGACAGTGAGATGTCTGGGTGGTCCCCCAGGATGAGTGAGGAATGCGGAGTGAGCTGGTTCAGCAACTCCGACTATTGGCCCGGAGCGAGTAAACTTCCCAGTCTGGGGTGGCAGGGAGAGTCTGCAGTAAACACCCAGGGACTGGGTGCAGCTTAACTGTGCCCCGTCCTCCAGCCCAGCACCATCAGAACTGGCTGGTGCTGGAGCAGAGCAGCCGGCGTCCCCCCAGGGTCTCCTAGTGTCTGTCAGCAGGGGAGGTTTTAGGTGAGGAGTGAGGGAGGGGAAGCGCTTCTCACAGCCTCCTGCGCAGACACTGAACTTCTGCCAGGAACACACCCACACCCACCCACCCCTCACCTGCTCTGCCAACCTCTGGTCTGGTACAGCCCAGTGGAAACCACCACTTGGACCGCCCTGGGGCTGGGGAGAACCCGCCCCGAGATGTGCAAAATGGCAGCCAGCAACACCCAGCTGTTGCTTGGCACTTGGGGGTCCACTCCCCTCCCTGGGGCCCCTCCCCGGAGCACTTGAACAGACCTGAGTTTGGTTCCATGCCCTACTGCTAATGCAGACTCTCTGAGCCTGTGTCCCTTTCTGTTAAGTGGGGACAGTGATGCTCCTCTGCCTACGAAGCTCCTCCTCCTCCCCTCACTGCTGTGCGGACTGCTACCATCCTCGGCCCCCTCCTGGGGAGCCTCAGTCCGCCGTGCACCCCTGGTCCAGCTGTGCACTGAGCACTCATCTCTGACAGACTGCCAGCTCCTGGGCCCTGCACAGCGCCCCATCCCTGCTGCATATCACCTGCCTCTCAGGGGTTTTGTGGGGGCATGGGGTGCTCGGGAGGGAATACCCAGCACCCTGCCACCCCGCAGTCCCCTTGCCCTGGGCCCTGAGCCCCAGGTCTTCCTACACCTCTTCCCACTGTTTAAGGCCTCTTTGTCCCTTAAGGCTCAATGAAGAGCCCACCATGTGCAATAGCCCAACCTCCCCTGCACCTTGAGGACCCCTGCTACCCTCTCCTCCATAGCCTGTGGCCTCTCCGAGCCTACCATACACCAGGGGCTCTCGCTGCTTGCCTTGGGGTGGTCTGTACCACGGCAACAGCCCTCCGGCTGGCCCTGCAGAGTCCGAGTCCTTGTCCTCTCCACCCAGCCTCCCACAGGGAGACCAGCCCCTCGGTCGGTGGGCCTTGGGGAAGGGCTTTCCATTCCCTTGGCTTCTAAAGCCCCTAGGCCGCTGGCTGACCCCAGAGGAGGGGAAGATGAGACAGTGTCCCAGAGCAGCTGCTTCCTGGTAGGTCACACGAGCAGGGAATCAGGACACCTGCTGGGTGGTTGGGGCCAAGAAACACAGGCAGCCAGCCCAGCCCTGCCACTCATCCACTGGGACGTAGGGCCAGCTGCTCCCCCTATGGGCTACCTTATCACCTAGCCCTGGGCAGGGTCTTAGTGAGCCTCTCCTAGGGGCAGGGACAGCGGCCAGTCCTTTGGGAGGCCACAAATTGGGTGCCGAGCTCCCAGAGGGACACATACAGCACAGTGTGGCATGCAGGGGAACTCCCACCCTGGGAGGGGCTGGGGGGATGTGGGCAGAGGGCCTGCAGGCAGGACTGACCCGATGGGCCGAATGGGCCCCTAGCTTGCAGCAGAATCAGGGTGTCTCACAGGCTGAGGTCCCCAAGGCCTCCCAGAGTCCTGGGAGCACTGAGCAGTGGAGGCCCTGGCTGGAGGAGACAGGGGACAGCAGGAGCTCTGCAGGCAGCCTGGGCTTGGCCCCACCTCCACTGCTGGCTGCCTGAGTGACCCTGGACAAGTGACCGTGACTTGTCCAGGCCTCAGTTTCCATAGCCATAGAATGGAAACAGCTCCAACACAGCTAGCAGGGCTGTTGTGTCACTCCCAGCAGGTAACAGCGCCCAGGGTGGCAGATGTTCACACTTATCCTGAGGCCACACCTTCCCAGCATCACCTCGGTCTGTCCTTCCCTCTGTTCCTACCTCTGGCACCAACAGGGCCTCCTCCACGTCTCGTCTCCGTCTTCCCAGAAACCATTTCTCTTCCACACCCATGCCAAGCACAGGCTGAACACACAGTAGGTGCTCAGTGAATGCTCGATGACAATGAATGAATGCAAACACCCCAGGCACCCACTGAACACACTTACACACAAATGTAGACACCCCCCCCCCAACACCTTGCTGCCCCCTCCAATCCCGAGCTGCCCTGGACTCAGTGGAACAATTGGGAGGCTGATGAGGTGCTGGGTAGGGCAGCCTGGGAGGGAGCAAGGGGCAGGGTGTGGAAGGAGGGTGGGGGCCAGATGGGGCAGGGGCAGGGGCAGGCAGGGGTGGGGGTGGGGAGGGGAGTGGAGGAGGCGGTCACTGTGGCTCAGTAGCCCTGCGACTGGTAGCCCTGGGGCTCGGTGTCAAAAGAGTTGGCTGGCTGCTGGTAGGTGCCACCCATGCCAGCGGGGTCTGGCCCGGCGCTGGGCTCCACGTAGGGGGCATAAGGCATGCTGGAGTCCTGGCTGGGGTCCATGTAGTCCTGGGAGAAGAGGGCCGAGTCGGCGCCAATCTGGTACCGCTGGAAGGCCAGCACGGCCTGGCCTGCCTGGGGACGAGGGCCGGAGGGGACGAGGACAGGAGGGAGGGGTGGTTAGAAGAGAGACAGACGAGAGCATTGGGTTAGTGGTGGTTAGTCCACTGGACACCGACAATAGAGAGTTAAATATCTTCAAAGCACCAAAGACAACCGAACCTGACTGATGGGAAGGGAGCTGGTCCTTGCGGCCAGCCCTTGAGAGGCCCAGAACGGCATCGTCCAGCCAGAATGGACTTCCCAAGTCGCCGGCCCCGTGCCCCCTCATCCCAGAGGTCACTCGGAGCCACCAGAAATTCTAGTCTGCACTGTGCAGTGTTAAAATGACTCAAAAGCCTACAACTCCCTTTTCAAACTGTTCTCAGAAGCATTGCAGAATGGAGAAAAAAGGTTTCTTGGTGGGACAGAACTGTCGCCATCTCCTAAAATTGCTCTGTCTCTCTTGCAGCTAGGTGCAGCCATATGACTGAGTTCTGGCCGACGGATCACCCCAAGTTCTTTGTTCGCCCTTTGACATGATGCCTGGAACACAGGTGTGATAGCTGGAGCTCTGGTTGCCACGATGGACCATGAGGTCCGGGAACCAAATCGTAGGGATGAAAGAGGCCTGGGTCACTGAAGACTTCTGGGCCCTATGCCAGCCTTGGACTGTCTTCTCAGCTGTTGACACTTTTTGCAATTTCTGTCATTTGCTACTGAATCTAATTCTAACTGAGACAAGTTGGTCTGACAAGTTTGGGAAACTGAGTTAAACGGAGTGAGACAAGTCTCAGGACCGCAGGACTTGTCAGAGCTTCGACCATTTAACACACACTGGGGTCCCCTGCAGGAGGCCACACGCCACATCCATCAACCTTAACTGACCTCTGAAGCCCTTTTTTTTCTGCTTGGAAAAGCTTGTCTACAGCATACATGCATAGGTGGGAAATTATTTTTCAGTAAAAGCAATAATACTGTTATTAAGGACAAGGACATTAACCACATCAAGCTAGAGAGTACGTTAAATCTGTCACTATGAAGGCAGTTCACAGGTTTACACTGAAAGCCCCTCCAGAGGATCTTTCCAGGCCAGGTAATGTGACAGAAACATGCTAATGCCCCCCACGCCCCTGTTTTTGGGCTGGGAGGATGGCGGCCTGGACAAGGGAGGCCTCCAGGCAGAACTGGCTCCAGAACACAGACCTAACCCCAGACCTTCCCGGGCCGGGGCCTTCCCCACCTCCTTCCCTCTGATCAGGCCCCTGACAGGGACCAAATCGACCAGGAACCCCAAAGGGTCATCAGGTCAGAGGCATGTGCTTGGTGTTTAAGTCCAGAAAGTTCTAGAAGCCCAGTGACTAGGCGTTCACTTTCGATTTGTGTCACTGGAGAAAGCTGGGAAGGGCAGCCCTTTCTGGGAAGGGGCTGTGTGAAGCCAAGTGTCAGGGCCCAGGGAAGGTGGGCCTAAGGGAGTGGGCTAAGGAGACCAGGCGGGGCCCTCTTGTGTTTTCTATGTTGCTGTGGGGTCCTGGCTGCCAGGGGCTGCTGCCCTGGCTGCCCTGGCTGCCTGGCTGCTTCGCCTGGAGAAGCAGGAGGGGAAAAGCCCCCTGGGGTAGCAGTCTTTGGAACCCGGAGCCATCAGCAAGCCCACAAGAGCACATGGGGAATGAATGAATGAATGAATGAATGAATGAATGAATGAATCTGAGAAAAACGTCTGCAGATGCGGCTCCCCGAGCTCCCTGGTGCCACTGCCCGGGCCGGTTCCCTGCACAGAGACCGAGGGCTATAGCAGGGGGCCTCCGTGGGTCCTTTCAGGGAGAGGCCTCTGACTCAGACGCCCAGAGCTACCTCTGTGGGCACTCCTCTGGCTGCACCGAGTCATGGCCTCCCTGGCCATTCAGTTCAAGGAGCCACAGACCGGAGCAAAGAAGGGATATGGGCCCTAGCTGGACTGGGGTACAGAGGGGAGGCTGCGAGTTCTGCTGAGAGTCCAGGAACCTGGTGGTCGACCTGGCCCTGCTCCATCAGATCAAGTACCCTCTCTTGAGCCTCTCCACCTTACCAGAAGCAGCCTGCACTTGTCCGCCTCCAGTGTCAGGAAGCTCACTCTGTGTGCCCTGCTCCGGAGCCTGCTTGTGCTTTATTACCTCCTCAACAGCTGCGGGTGGCGGGCGGGGAATGGGTGGGTTCCTGCCCAGGAGCTGAGGGCCCAAGGACTGGAGGCCAAAGCCCTTTGGAAGAACAAGGACTCGCCACATAAGAATCACCCTGAAGTCGAGACTGTGGAAGTGTCCCTGGCTCTTGGGGCAGATTGACTGAACAAATGAATGTGTGAATAAGTGAATGTGTGAATAAATGAATGAGTGAATAAGTGAAAGAGCGAATGAATGAGTGAGTGAATGAATAAATGAATGTATGAATGAAGGAGTGAATAAATGAGTGAACAAATGCAACAGAAGAGCCTACATTTATTGAGCATCTCCGTGCCAGCCTTTTTTTATCCACACAACAGCCCTGAGAGCTTGGTCTGTCATCACTCCTCAGCCCAGGGAATCGGACTGAGGCTCAGAGAGGTGCAGGGGTTTGCCCAGGGCTCCAGAGCACACGAGAGCAGAGTCAGGCCAGGAGTCCTCCGCTGTCCTCAGCCAGGCCCCCCTTGGCAGCCAGCAACCACTGGGGCTGTAAGATCAGCCTTCGTGCCACAGGCATGCGACAGGCTCTCACACTGCATCCACAGCTCAACACCCTGGCAGCCCACATAGGGAGCCACCTCTAACCTTCTAATGGCCCATGGTGGTCCCTTCAAGAAGATTTCGGTTTGTCTGTCTCCTCTCCCCAGCCTATGGGCTCCTGGGCCAGGGACCCCATCTGATTCATCATTAGGCACAAAACAGCTGCTCAATAAATGTTTACTCAATAAATGAACAATGGAGAATAAACAAAGGAGGCAATGAATAAGTGGCACGTTTTAACTGGCCTCTCAAGCCAGGCTTCCCTGCCCTGGGCACCCTGGCATCAGGGCCGGTGCAGGCAGTAGGCTGCGCCCCCGCCCTTGCCATGGGGCAGGACACAGGGTGAGCAGCCTCCATAAGCCGGGTGGGCCAACTACGGCTGTGCCGTGGTGGGAAACAGCGTGTTGTACTCCTCCTGGAAGGTAAGGTCCTTGAATCTCCGCACGGCCAGGGCTGCGGTCAGGCTCTGCCAGGAGAGAGCAGGGGTGAGGCCTGCTGGGAGGGCTGGGAAAGGAAGCGGGGCCAGCAGGGGGCAGGCTTCAGCGGACCGCGGGGATGCCATCACCTGGCCCTGAGAGCCCTGATGTGCAATGACCCGCTTGGCTCTGTGAGAGCCCCAGCCCCATCTCTGGGCTTGCTGCTCCCGGGAGGGCTGGACGGTCCCCACTTCCAGGGTGTCTTCTCCGGTCTGAGATACCCTGGGGCCACCCGGTTTTCCCTCCCAGCCTTGAGAACACAGAGATCTGCAGTGACTGAGGCTGGCCCACTGGGGCCTGAGCCACAGGTCTCCTCTTCCAACCCCAGCTCCCAATATTGTACTGGGGTGAGAGGCCTCACGAGCCATCCAGGGGCCCTCAGAGAGAGACAGCGGCTGCCCCAGGGCCTGCCTGCCCAGAGGGTGCGGGCACAGGGCGGCTCCTTGAAGAAGGCTAGGCCAAGGATGCAGGAGGGGGGCTGCGTGCGGAGGGGCTAGAGCCCTGGGGTGACAGCGGATGGGACCCCAGATATCTGCAGGAGGGAGATGGGGCAGAAGAAATAAATCGAGGTGGCCTGGACCCCAATTCCACGGGCAGCCTTGCTGTCACCCTGGCAGGTGCTCAGGACCTGGGTTCAGAGCCCACGGGAGCCGAACTCTGCCGCCCCGTTGCAGAGACAGGCTCTCCCTGCCCCACACGACAGATGTGTTCTAACTTCCATACCTTGCTAACACATCGAGATCGGGTTTCACACAGAAATTCAGCTTTCTGGCTTCTCTGGCAAACAGAAGCCCTGGCCTCTGTGGGTCCCCATTCCTGCTTCTGACCAGGGACCGAGGACAGGGTGCCCGTTTAGGACAGGATGGACATGCCACCTGGCCTGCCCACGCCTCCTCCCGTCTTGCCTGCCAGGTGGGCAGCTAGGTTTGTGACGCCTTCCCCAGATCCAGTCTCGGGCGTGACAGACAGGGAGACAGAGGCTCGGAGCCCCGCGGAATGTGGGCAGCCTCGAGGTGTGGCCCGGGGCCCCCGACTCCTGGGCCCGGGCTCCTTCCCAGCCTCAAACTCTCCAAGCCTCATCTTGCTGTGTAGCCCTCAGCTTCCTCACCAAGGATAAATCCCTGTCACAGGGGACAGTAAACACCCTGCCCAGCTACCATGGCAGGTGCTCTGCCTCAAAGCAAGAGTCCGTTGTCACCGCGTGACTGTCTTCTCTGGCAATGGCAACAGCCTTCCTCGGGCGGGGCCAGCCCTGCCGTGGGCATCCAGGACAGAAGCAGAGCGGAGGTTCCGGTGGCGCTGGGAGGCCCCACCCCGGGGCCCGCTGGCAGGTCGTGTACTCACCCACGTGAAGATGGAGAAGAAGGAGAAGGCGATGGCAGCCCGGGCCGCGTCTGTCCCTTCGTTCAGTGGGTTGTCCTTGGGCTTGGAGACCTGCCACTGGTTGGCCAGGTAGCAGAAGCCCACAAACCAGAGGAAGGCCCAGAAGGCTGGGGTGTCCGTCAGGGTCGGGCAGAATGGTCCATGCGCGGGGCAGGGGGCAAGTGGGAGGAAATGGGGGAACCGAGGACCGGCAGAGGTTCAAGAGCACGGGGAAGGTGAGCGAGGGCAGAGAGGCCAGTCCAACGCACAACCGGACAGCGACGAAGCACAGGAGCCGACCACGGTCCAGGAGGGCCCAGGGCAGGGAGGGCGGGTGGGAGAGACAGAGAGAGTCAGTCGGCCGAGGCCCGAGTTTCTCTCACCGCAGCCAAACACGGATTTCTCAGCCATCCCTGACTGTCCACCCGAGGCCTGCAGCTTTCTGGGAGGAGCGCCCCGATGCCCCCTCGCTCCCAGACTGTAGCCTCCCGGAGAACTGGGCCAGGGGAAGGTGAGGGGCTAGGACAACAGGTGTGTAGCTCAAAACCCGTGGGCCTAAGCCTTGACCTGTCAAGTGTTTGCAACCCCCCAAGTCCCCAAGGGCAGTGAGAGGCCCCGTGAGGGCCCAGGGTGGGGGAGAGCAGCAGTGAGAGCCCCAGGGCAGCGAGGCCTTCTGAGGCACCCAGGGTCTGCCCAGGAGGACCGAAGCTGCTCGGGAGGCGCACGCATGTGCCCAGAGGTGGGGTGTCTGGAGCTCGGCCCCTGCAGAGGCACTGCTGGCAAACCCTGGGACTCTGCGGGACACGGCGTGAGAACTACTGATTTTGTTCTAGTTCCTTCAAGTTTAAGGGACCCGAGACCTTGCTGCCGGGCCCATCCTGAGAGTCTCAGGCCTGGAAATGGGGGAGGTCCCTGCCACAGGCCGGACAGCACAGCCTTTGGCTAGTGAGGCTGAATCCCACTCCTAACCTCAGCCTCTGCCAATCAGATTCTCTGCACTCGTGGGACGGAGGTCGGGGTACCTGGCCCAAGGCCACTTCGGAAAGCAGCAACAGCAAGGTCCCCACTGCCAGGATTTGACTCCTGGGGGCCACCAGGGAGGTGGCCACTGAGAGTGGAGACGGCTCCCCAGGGCGCTGCGCTCCCCTCCCCGCTGTGCTGCTGAGGCTGCTCCGGGGGTGCAGGCCGGCATTGGTCCCACCCTTCCCTGCGGCCAGCCATGTGACCCCGAGCCTGCCCCTTCACCTGCCTCGTGGGCGTGCGTGAGGATTAACGGGACCGGGGCTGGGAACTCACCCGAGACCCCGATGTCTGACAGGACGGCTTTCTTGCGGTCCTTCACGCTGCTGATCTGCGGGAAGTACACGTCCAGGGCCAGGTAGAGCAGGCAGGTGAGGAAGGCCAGCACGCCCACGGCCACGCCGTAGCTGCAGGCGTTGGGGTTGCGGTTGTAGATGCAGAACTCCTCGCCCTCCGACGGGGTGTTGAGGTAGCCCTCGTTCACGATGGAGCCGAACACCACGATGGAGAACACCTGAGAGGGGTGAGGGTGGGGGAGGCCTGAGACCCAGGCCGGCCCCACCCAGTGTGAGCCCCACATTGGGGCGAGGGGGCATCCCAACACCTCTCCCCAACTAGCAGGTATTTCAGAGGGGAGGCCCAGAGAGGGAGGGCAACTTGCTTGGGGTCACACAGAGTAGGGCCAATCGCTTGCATCTGTAGCCCAGGCACCAAGGACTCACCCACTGTAGATGTGGCCTGCCCCCACCAGCCCCATCCTGAGAGGTCTCCCTGGGCCCCGACACCAAGGCTGCTCTCAGACTGCAGCTGCCTCCCAGAACCAGTGGTCTCGTGCCCTCTTGGGCCGTGGACCTGCTGAGCCCCACCCCCTTCTCATGTACCCCTTCCCTCCACAGAGCCGTGGGCTGTCATGGGGGCTCAGGCCCCACCCTTCCCTGTTGTTTAGGCCCTGAGTGATGCATGAAAAAATAACAGGCACCACCCTGCACCTCAGTGAGGCACATGTGGTGCCTCCGTTAACCCACGACCACATCGGTTCGGCAGGCAGCCGGCTATGACAGCCCCGCCCCTACCTCCTGCCATCCATGCACCAACTGCGGGCTGGACCTAGTGGTTTGCTGCAGAACATGGAAAAGTGACGGTGAGCCACTCCTGCGAGGGAGCTAGAGACTCTGGCTCGTGGCCCGTCTCGCCTGCTCACTGCGATGGAAGCGGCTGCCTTCCACAGCCCAGAGAAGCGAGTCCTGCCAGCACCAAGTAAGTGACCTTGAAAATGGGTCCACCCTCAGCTGTCAGATGAGCCCAGAGCCCTGGCTGCCACCACCACTGCAGCCTGTGATAGACCCTGAGGCAGTGGCACCCAGCTGTGCAGACTCTGACCACAGGAACTGTGGGACAACAAGTGTGTGTTGTTTGGAGCGGGTCCATTTGGGGGTGATTTGTTACGGGGCAATAGCTAACTAATACAAAACCAGCATCATTAGCATTTTGCAGGTGAGGTGGTTAAGGGGCAGGGATCAGTTGATGTCACACAACTGGTCGGTGGCAGAGCGGGCTTCACACCCAGGGGCCTGGGAATCTAAGGTCCCAGATTTTTCCTCCTGCCTCTTGCCTGCCCTGGAACTGCGTGAGGATGAGGAGGGCCCGCCCCACGGACACACGTGCACGAAGGCGGGTCCTCTGCGGGAGGGGACCTTCATCATCCATTTTCCTCTTCTCAATTGTTCTACAAAAGACTGTAATTTCAATATAAGCCAGACACATTTTCACAGTCGGCTGACACCTAGGATGGCTAGTGACTCGGGGCAGGCACGGGGGAAATACGAGAAGCAGTCTTATCTTCTTCATCCATCTTTTTAAGATCTCTCCATTTTACACGGGTTTTACAATGCATTAGATATATTAGTAATATATACAGCAAATAAATCTACATTTAATGGGAGAATCGACTCAAAAGTCTTTCCCACAGGAGTGCAAGGGACCCCTGGTCTGTCGCTCTGTGTTCGGAAGGATCCGACCCGAAGTCCGGGGGGTGGACGGAGAAGCAGGTGACAGCGCAGCCACATGGCAGAACCCTATTCAGCCACAAGGACCCCAGTTCCGATACGCGCCACACACAGGTGAACCCTAAAACTAGGGGAAACAGTGAAAGAAGCCAGACACAGCGAGTCCCCGTTAGGTGATGTCCTTCCCGCACTACATCTGTAATAGACACGGAGAGCAGACTCGGGGTTCCCAGGGGTGGGAGGGGAGGTGGGCGGGGTTACTCAGTGGGTCCAGGGTATTTTACGGGGTGACAAGTGGAGAGAGGTGGTGCATACACAACACTGTAAACACACTAAATGCCACTAACCGCACACTTTAAAGTGGTTTAGTGTACGTTACGTGAATTCTTCTGCAATTAAGAGAAAGGAAGAATTGTGGAGCTGCATCCGGCTTGGCCACACGTGGGCCAGTTCCGACTCGGGAGGCCCGAAAACCCCATCCTCCAGACCCGGCAGCTGCCTGGCTCACAGTGCCGCCCAGCCCAGGTTCTCTGTCCTTCTGCGCAGGCGCCCGAGAGGGTGGTTTATGCTGCCTCTCACTCACAGAGTGAAAACCGAGGTTCAGAAGGAGGTGACACTGTTCTTAGCAGTCCAGGTTGAACTTGAACCCAGGTCTCCTGACACTCGGCCCTGTCCCCTTCTTCCCCTGCCTGAGCTGACTCTGGGTCCTGGAGAAGGAGTGGCATTTCCTGAGACCTGCGGGGTCAGGCAGTGGGACACAGGTCTGGAGCTCAGGGGCACAGGAGGGGACAGACAGGGAGTCCTGACAGCACTTCCCGGCAGGCACTCCCTGAGGTTCGCTGCCAGAGGTGGGGACAAGGGTGGGCCCCTTTCAAAAGCAGGCAGAGGAGGTGGGAGGGGAAGCAAGCCCGAGGAAGTCCCTCTGGGGACAGCAGAGAAGGAACCGTTAAGACAGGGTCCCCTTGGGGGACCGGAGCAGGGAGTCCTTGGAGAGACCTGGAGGAAAGTGCTGGAGACCCTGTGTCCCCAAGAGGGTAGGGAGCACGCAGTGAGAAGTCACGGAGTGAGGGAGTGACAAGATCTGGCTCTGTGGATTGGGGACGCACTTCTCCTACAGCACCGAAGTCACTTCAGCAGCTCCCCACTGCCTTCTGGATACAATTCAAGCTTGGCGGGGGCGGTGGGGTGGGCAGGGGCGTCAAGGCCTCACCTCCCTACACTTCCCACCAACGACCTGCTCCCCCAGCTCCTCACGCCCCAGGCCCTTGTCACTAATGGTTTCCACGCAACAGGATCTGAGCTGTAAAAAACTTTCCTGTGTAAGTTCCATGGGGGTGCAGTGAGCTGCCGGGTGGCCCCGCTGCTGGGCACGCACTGTCCGCCCCGACTGCTCTGTGCCCACAGGACACCCTGAGTCCAGGGCCTGGGAGGTCTCATCTTGGGGGCCAGAGAATTAGGGCTTGTCCCAAGTCGTTCATTCACTCCCCAGTGTTTCCCGAGCACCTGGTGTGTGCCAGGCTCTGGGTGAGAGGTGAAGGAGGCAGCGAGGTCCCTGTCCTCACCAAGGGGGACAGAGAGTAGCTGACAAATATGAAGATAAGTCCTGACAAGTGCCCCGAGAAGGCACTAAGCAAGGCAAGAGGAGACAGGGAGGCAACTCGGGGGGAGGGGCTCCGATGACTTAACCTTTGAGCAGAAGACCAAGTAGCTTGAGAAGTAACCACAAGTGCAAAGGCCCTGGGGCACGAGCGGCTGGGGAGGCCAGTGCAGCAGGGGCACATCCAGCGAGGTGAACTAGCTGAGGTGGCCAGGGGCTGGCCCCTGCGCCTGGAGGACGAGGGTGAATTGAGGAGCCACTTCAGGCTGAGGTTTGGAAAGAATCACCCCGGCTGCTGCGATGGAGCCAACAGACTGCAGGGGCGAAGGTGGGAGCAGCGCCAGGGGAGCGGGAGGGGCCGGGCCGGAGTGGGCAGTGGTGAATGAAGGTGGGAAGCCATGGGGTGTGGGATGTATTTGAAGGTAGAGTCGCTGGCACCAGCTGACAGGTCTGCTGTGGGGAGTGAGGCGACAACGCCCAGCAGGTTGGGGAGGGGCTGACAATCAGGTGTGCATGTCAGCTCACCCGTGGGCTGCAGGGCTGGGCCAGCACAGGCAGCCTCACCCGCACCAGGTCCGATGGTCTGTGGACAGAGAAACCGAGGCTCGGAGAAGGGAGGAAATGTCGCCAAGGACACACCATCTGCCCCTGGCGGTCTCCCAAACTCCCCTCCCAGGGGCTTAGGCCCCAGTTTAATGTTGGCCTTCAGCAGCCACCCCCCCACCCTGTGTGGGAGGGGGCGCCCCAGGAGCTGGCATGGGCCTCAGTCTCTGTTCCTCAGCCACTTCCAGCCCAAGGCACAAGACAAAGGGGGATTCCCTCAGGACCCACTACGGGACCCTTAATTAACTCCACGCGGTCGGGTCCACGTCCTTATTCTCATTTTACAGCTCATTTTACAGCTGCATCTGGGAGCCTGCCCAGGGCACACGGCTGGTCAGGGTGAATCCAGTCTCAAACCGGCGTCTCTAAATCCAAGCCGGTGCTCTCGGGCCTCTGGGACGTCTTGCTAGGCCGGATTTCCAGACCTGCAGGGACAGCAAGGAGCCCGCACAGCAGCCAGCGGCGAACTGGAAATTCAGCTGGAATGAAATTCCATGCTGCGCAGGGGAGGCCTGGGGACCGCGCTCCACCCGGGTCTGTGCTGACCAAGACAGGTCTGCAGCGGCGGGAGAGGAGGGAGGGAGGGCGGCCTGGGGACACCCGGAGAGGCCACTGGTCCCTGCAAGCACAGGACGAAGAATCTCCTCCCTTCCTGCTACAGACAAATGCTAAAAAAAACCAAACAACCAAAAAAACCTACCAAGGCAAATGGGCCAAGGCACCTTTTTTTTGCCATCTTTATAAGCCACCAATCCTGGACCTTTTTAAAAATGGATTCCAGATGGCACTCGGAGCAGAGCTGTGCTAAACGCAGAAAAACAAACTGGAAGAAATTTCACGATCTTCAAATTTCAGGATCTGGCACTCCTGGATTCAGCTAGGAACAGAAGCAGAGAACTGCCAGGCCCAGCCCGGCCCCCCGGCCCCCAGCCACCCCAGGGGGTGGGGTGGGCACTGCTTGATGATTTTGCAGCCTCTGGTCCCACCTCCCCAAATGCCCTTCCCCAGGTTTCTCATCTTTCGAATAGGAGCGAACTCCTTCTCGCCCTTCAAAACCCTGTCGGTAGGTGGTGACTCCGACTCCCTGCCACCTTCTGGGATGCCCTCCTTTCCAGTCACGCTCCCCAACCCTGACCCGCACACATTCCTGCTTGAGACTCATTGACTGGCCTGTCACCTCCATGACACCCTGAGACAGCCCACAGCCTCCACAGGGGCCTTGCACCCATGGGTGCGCCTGACAAAAATCATCTCCTTTAATCCCCACCGAACCCTCTAAATATAAAATGAACCTAAAAACACCCCCAC